CCCGTCACACAAAAGTATATTTTTAACTCAGCATTGATGCTCACTTGCAAAGCTTGTTATTTCATTCATCACGGCGTGTTTTTAAAACAAAGTATATAAGGTCAACATCACTAACCTCCAGATATTTTAGGGTTAAAGGACAGGGATCCTTGCCAAACCCGCTGACGCCAAACTTGTAGTCGTTTGCTTCCAGCAAACATGCTTCGTTGTTTTTGCAGTCTCTCTCCACAGTATCCTTGGAGTTCTTCACCTCGCATTTTGTGTTTAAGGCGATCAAGAAACCACAGACATGTGCTCCCTTCAAACGGCCATAATTTGCATAATCGACTTCAATCTTACGTCCATTGGGGCAATCTATATAGGCTTGCTGACCTTCACAGACGCGAATCTTCTGCAAGGCTTCTGGTGTTGCTGGTATGCACCTATAATTGACCTGTCGGGCAGAACATCACCGGCTGTGAGGTGAATGTTCATGAATAAACTTGAGACAAAATTGACATGTGAGACAAAATTATGTCAGCGTGCAAAAAACTATTTATCTCGAGCGATTTGCAATGCAGAATAATTTTGTTTTGCGGAAACTTTCCAGTAATGAACACTTTTTGAAAGCATATTCAATACATTGAAGGAAAAATGTTACAGGTTTTCTGCCGGCGAGAGGAGATTACTCGAGGAGATTACTCTTCTTAAATTAATTTCTCTGTTAGATTTGAAGATAACACTACGTGTTGCATGTAAAACATACCTTCAAATACTTATAGGTACCAAAACACGGGTCACCGTACTCCACCTTATTGGCATAGAGAGTGCAAGACCTGAAGCCATCGCATTCCTTTTTGGTGATTTCCAAGGTACTCTCCTTGGAATAGCACTTCGTATTCCAGTCAAACAAAGCCAACGGGCAATGCTTGCTTCCTGACTCTGTCCTCCCATATTCCGCCCCAATAATTTCAATCCGCTGTCCCTTACATTTGATTTCGAGTGACTTGCCCTCACAAACTACCGATTCATAATCAGCCCCCCTCTCTATATAACAGAAGGGAATTTATTTCATAAGTACTGAGATTTATCCACAGAGATAACAGTGATGAAAACATCGCTCTGTTTTTAGTCGCAGCCAATCAGCGACGCGAACGATGAAATTTCA